GACGTCATCGGAAACACCGCGATCATTAAAATTTTAATGAACGATTATCAAATATCTTGACCATGTTTATCATGATAAAAATATCAAAAATAATGTGAAAAATATTCTATCCTCAATACTACACACGTATACGATGAAACATATCTAGAAAATCCCCAAAAAATGCAAATTTCCGCTCTGGTGATCACATTTCCCATAAGAGCTGATCACTTTTATTTTTGCGTGTAGGATGGGTTTTAAATGACTAAGGTCTATTAGAGCACCCCATCTCGTCGTTTTCGAGAATAAGAATTTGCATGGATTTTTATCCAATAAAATGAAAAGCAAGGGTATTTTTTCTAGTGTTGTTTTCAGAGATAGGTTTATAATTAGAAGTCAATCGATAATCATTATTCAAATGAGCTTAAAAATACAAGAGATTGTCGTCAAAAATATATGTCAAAACATGACCCTTCGACAAATCAAACAATCAGGGCACGAAATTTCGACGTATTTAGGAATAGGAATTTGCATGGATTCTTTTTTATTATATCAAAACAGTGGTTTTCAGCCACCACACCTTCCGGACGCTTTTAGAACTCATGACCGTTCTGTTTATCATCCCAGTGGGATTTGGAGTGTTATTATTATTGGTATGATTGGTTTTTATGATTTGTCCAAGTTACATTATGTTTAAACAATTCATGATCAACAAAGTGAAAACACTGTGTGAAATAACCTTATCGAGCAATGAAACTATAGAAAGAACGGGGAGTTTTCTTGTGAAAAGATGTCAAAGCAGTTCTGCGCGTAGCGTGTGCCCCCCCCCCCCCCATCCGACCGCTCTGGGGTCACCCTGGGGGGATTGGGATCGTGAGGCACTGTCCTCTGGTTGAGAACCGATGTATCAAAACAAGATTATTGTTTCTAATGTTATTTTCAGAGATCCGCGTATAATAATACGAAAATATCGAAAAGCTTATCAATATACAAATAAAGAATCGACGTAATAGCAAGGATCATTTTGGCCATGCGTCATTTCTTGAACTGAATATACTCAAAATTAAACAAGTTTATCAAACTAGCTAATAACACGCGTAATCGGCAGATGTTCAAATATATGTAATTATACCACGGCACTGTTTGATAAAACAATTAAGAAAATGTTTTGTGTGCTTATATTTCTTCGGGTTCAAAGGGAACAACAATTTACATAGTAGTCTGTTGAACGTATATATATATCTAGGAGACATTTTCTAATACCTGATAATTCCAGAATCAAATCGAATATCTTTTTGAATCGACTCTAGAATACTTAGGATGAATGTAATTATAAGGTCCCTCTTATTGTAATGGGTCCTCTCAACACATGAATTATTGCAAACATGAAATTCTCCACTCATACAGTTCGCTGATTGTTCACACGCAATAAAAAAATATTTTATCAAATAACTCGGCTTATTTTGTTAACTTTTATAGGTAGTATATAACAACTCTGAGTGTAGAAAAGATTCAGTTAAAACACTGACTGCAGCTTTGAACTTTATTCCCAATCTCTAGAAATCTTTAACATTTAGTGTAAAGTGTATCTTTAACATTTTATTGCCAATACAAGACAAACAAAACTCTCAATATTTCCCTCCTCAATTGTTCAACCAACTTTAAACCGTGGCTGAAAGTAGTAAAATATCGGAGGGGATATTTTACAATCGGAAGCATTTAAGTTAACTGATCACCTGGGCTTAAGGGGAAATATTATTAACGTTATGAACTAATAAGAATAAAACTAAATATTACACTGACGAATACAAAGTTTTCCATTCACCAGGTCCAGGCTCTGGCTAAAAAATATGGTTGTGGTGAAAGTCTTGTGTTGTCAACTCTGTGTTGACAATGTGAAATTGTTCTTTAGGTAAAGTAACTATTTAGCGACTACAGGCGGAGAGCAAGGTTTCTCCAGGTTATACTACGAATATAAATATTTAAGGATAGTGTATAACAATTCGACTACGCAGGAATTTAGGTAAGCAGAACACCACTGCTCAAAAGCTTGAAATTATAGTCTTTACTTATCCATTCACGAGAGATCTCTAACATTGGGTTTTCTATTTCTATTTTGGCCGGCACATGACAAACAAAACTCTTGATCTTTCCCACTCAATTGTTTAATCAAGTTTTAAACAGGGAATAAAAAAAAATTGTGAGATCGGAAGGAATATTTTACGATCGGAAGCATTTTAAGTTTACTGATCATCTAGGTTTAAAGAGAATAATTAACTTCGTGAACTCAGGGATAAAACTTATGACTGCACAGGTGCGAATAGAGTGGTTGGAAGTTGTAAAAGAGTTTCCGGTTCAGGTTCAGGCTTGAAAAAATAATAGTAATAATCATTATTGTGTGACCCCTCGTTAAACGTGTGACAGTTTTATTTTTACGTTAAGTGACTAAATAGCGACTACTAGCGGTTCATGTTACAAAATAATGCACCCTGCGATATATTTGTATAAACTATAGACTTTATGAGGCACGGTACGAATGATAAAATCATTGCTCACATTGTGAAGTTAGCTAAAATATTAAAAGACCCTATTCTATTGCGTTATCTTGTTTTATTATCACGGATGCGGTTTTACGCGCCGTAAATATACCTCATACATTGACGGGTGTATGTGTGATCATAAGCCTGTAATCTTCCATTGGTCTAAAAAGAAAACCCGTTTAACAAGACAACGTTATTATTGAGGATTGAGTTACGTAATGTGACAAAAATATCAAACGAGCCACGTGCTTCGGGACAGAGTTTCCCAAACTTCTTGGGCCGCGGGCCCCTGTTTGGTAATATTATTTTTGACGGACCCCCCCATCCTATGCCGAATCAATTTTTGGGTGACCGTACATTTGAACCCATGAACATTTGAACCCATGCGTATATCCACGGGTTCAATCTATATGCGGGTGCTAAAACCCATGGGTTAGGGTTTGTATGAAAAAAAAATTCCATAGGTGCAATAGCATACAGGTGCAATTGTCATGGGTTCAAATGTACGTGGGTTCAAATGTAATGGAACCCAATTTTTGTGCCTAACCAATGTGGAAGGATTAATGTTTTATTTGCCACAGAACAACCCAAACGACTTCAATGTTATGGATGAGGTTGCTCTTCACTGCACAATTTTTCGATTCTCGTAGCAGTTTGTGACAAGCAAACTCGTAGGTCCGACTCTACGGCAAGTCTCCGCCTGTATTTTGTCATCATATTGGTGAGAGCTAAATATGCTGCCTCACACATGTATGTCGTTGCAAAAGGCAATAAAATTTTAATTGTCTCTTTTGACAGCAATGTATACATGCCCGCAACGCTCAACCAAAATGATGCAGTGGCTTTTCAATTGAAATCATTTATTAAATATCGATCATACTCTTTTTATATCATTGCGGACCCCTGTACAGTCATCACGGACCCCCTGGGTCCGCGGATCCCAGTTTGGGAAACCTTGCTATATGGTATTGATCATTCTTGTTAATAAACTTTTCACCGTTTAACTGAAATATTCAAAATGAACTAATAATACTATACGAATGCAGATTTTCAAGGACATGATTGTCACCTGCAACATTGTTCCTCTATTCTTTGCAAATGATTTATAAAGTTATAGATTCATTAATTAACTTGAAATAGTCAATGAATGAATCTATAATATCCACTGGAACTTGCATACAGACATTGAATTCATTTTAAAGTTACGAAAAGCTTATTGTTTTTGTTTCCTGATACATTGCTGCTCTATTTCTTGCGAATTATTCACCTCTTCACATTCGCAAACAAATCTTTATTATCTCAAGTATTTCTACCGTGTATTTTTTTCGCCTACGAGAAGATTCCGCAACAAATGAATGATTGACATCAATTTCGGTTCTGTATTTTGAGTAAGCCAGCAAATACATGAAACAGAATTGTCATTCTGTTCGCTTGAAATCCCGCACTAAGTTTTATGTAAATTTATTTGAATACTGTTTTCTTGGTTCGAATTTCGATCATTTTATTATTATTTTCAATTGTCTTGCTGTGAACTGAACCAATAAACGCCCGACCATGCTTGCATCCCTGGATTATGATTAGGACCCCCCAGGATATGAACATTTTTTGAACCCAAATTAAATTTTATCTAGAAACCTGAGAACCAAACGTCAGTTAATTGATGATTTGCGCTTTATTTTCAAATTCATAAAGTGTCATACAACCTACTTACAGCGTGCAGCGTGGGCAAACGACTACCTTGGGATGACTGAACCATTGCAATTTATTGGTGAATCATGCACGATAAATGCAAGGTAATTTATACAACCATTATCGCACAAAAAAAGTTCTATTCATCACCTTTCAGATTTTTTAAACATGAAAATTTGTTTGCAACTTGACCAGTTTATTAGTAAATTTGATGTTTTATATTTACGAGCAAAGTCACAAATTCATCACAAATTTTAAATATAGCTCATGTATTTACATGACATTGTCGCCTACTAGGCTATATTACAAAATCAATTGTATTTTTTTCCTTTTGACGTTTTTTTTAAGTTCAATCCATTTTTAAAAAACATATGTAGAATACAGTGAATACATTATTGCATAACAAAAAAAAATCTAGCAAAAACACGATGGAGGCTTGCTATTTACAAAATTAAATGAAAGCATCTACTAGGGAAGGTTTCCGGTGGATGATCAAATTAATGAATCAATCTTTCATTTTTTAAGAATGAGTGAACTTTAAGTATGATTGAATGTATAAACATATTTATATAAAACAGTGGTATTAAAAGCGGAACAGGTACTATAAAGAAGGATATTAACAATATTAAATCACTTGGTAATTAATATTAAAAAAATATTAAAGACATCTACGACAAGTAATACAATAAAACGAATTTTAACAACACCAAAATTTTTACAAACGATCAATAGTTGCCAACGTGTGACTCACATATGGCGTTTATAAACATTTTTTGGCTATAAAAATATAAAATTTAGAGGTGGAATAGGCAAGGTACTTTAACAGGGTAGTATTTCTTTCGGGTCAAAAATGATTTAGCTACTTTTGAAGATTCTGAAATTAAATAATGGTTGATCACCAAAAATGTATTGATCGGTTTGATTGGAATTTTACAAGCTACAAGCACAATAGCAAATGTAATTACGCATTCTCCGCTATTAATGGATTCGACGTTTTGCTACGAGTACTATAATTACGTTTTCTCAGGAACGGTGAATCAGATTTCTTTCGTTTGAAAATCTAATACCCCAAATACTAAAGTGGTTGTTATCACAGCGCCCAAATAACTACAACACCTACGATTATGCCTATGTTTCCATTCTCTTCATTAACCAAAGGAATGGTATTTTCAATTTTGGTAGACGATTGCATATATTTTGGGATGTCAGATTCTTTATCGTCAGGGTTTTTCGATTTTTCAACGATGACTGGGGTAGTTCGTAGGGGTATCTCAAAGATGGAATGTGGACAATTTTGTTGGGATATTATTTGGTTTCCTACTTCCGGGGTTAAAAGTTTATTCTGATATTCAGCTGGGCTGTGGCAGACTATTTGAAGTTTTCTTGCTAACGATCGGACTGTCGGATTTTCGTGTTTATGCAAATCTTCGACGTATTGCTAAAAACAAAATTGAATTTTTTACCATTTTGTGAACAATTATTTAAATTAAGTCAATGATAAAATTCCCTTAACAAATTATTTGCAGAGCAATATTATTTGTTTTGGCATTAAAAACAACTTTTTATAACAAAAAGTTCGAGTCTGCACAAAATTATAGCAACATCTACCTAATATTTGTGTAAAAGTAAACAATACAAAACGGGGATTCTTTTTTTCAATGACAAATGTTGAATTGATAATTCCGTAATAAATGTCATGCCGGGCTATGATTTTCAACATTTTTTCATTTTTATATGCACTCTAAAATGAAAAAATAGACGAAGTGTGAAGGCAATTCACTGTAATAGTAGAAATTAAATATTCAAAACACCTAACTCACCAGATAGCTTAAACTCTCACAATCACAAATCCAATCGTTTAGTTCTAACCCCACATTACTTTCTTCGTTTGCATTCTTGATAACATTTTTAAACCAATCAGATTTTGGTGTTTTCAATCGATTGTCTTTTAAGATCAGCGAATGCAATTCACTAAAATAAAAATATTTAAATTTGTAAACCCAAAAATATTAAACTTTCAGTAAATATAAATGGAAGAATCTAGAATAATAAATAAATAAGAATAAACAGAAAATCTGTTTCCGCCAAATATCATGTTTTGTTTATTTATCATTTCAACATGATCTAGTTTAAAAACTCTTTTATCAACGACAACAAGGTCTCACGAAGGGTTAGAGGGAAACTCGCCGCAAGAAATTCCGCCGCATAGGAAAAATCGCCGCAAGAGCATTTTGCTGTTAAACAAGTATTTGTGATAAAAATAGTTAGGTTTTTGAAGTTTCTTTAAAAAGGATTCGTTATTAAGAGTATACCCTAACCTTATAACCTAACTGTTTACCACAAATACCTGATTTACAGCAAAATGCTCCAGCATGATTTCCTACGCAAAATATCCTGTGGGGAATTTTCCGGACTCGCTCACGAAGTACGCGCCCCCAATAACTTCTAGTGGGTATCTTAATGATTTTAGCAAATATTATTCCTAACCCCCACCTGATTATGTCATCCAAAATTACGTCACAACCACGTCATAGCTGGCCAAAGTGCTCCCGAAGTATGCGAACCAAGATGGCGGACATCGGAACGTAACATGGGTAACAGGTTAGGGTTAGGCGATAATTTTTTTCCAATTTTCCTTATTTTAGTCCTATTATCAGTTCGAAGACTAGCCAAGAGCCTCCCGTAGTATTTATAGCTGAAATTACGACCTAACCCTAACCTAGTACACATATTACATTCCGATGTCCGCCATCTTGGTTCGCATACTTCGGGAGCCCCGGCCAAAGTATAGTTACGATTGTTCGATATATAGCATATGTGACGACTATAATGTGCTAAGTAACGACAGCGATCTCTCTCGTATCGGGATTGCTACGACGAGAAAACGAGAGAAATAGCTTGCTCGATTTCGGATGATCGTCTGTATACTTTGAAGGGCCTTATCAAGTCACTGTGACACTTTTCCTGTCCAATTTACTACATCTGGGTAAAGTGGAGACTTCGAGTTTGCACCCGACGGGAACATATTTGGGGCCCATCGCACGGTGGCACAAGTTTTTAGTGGTTTGTCACTGTTTTTACAAGTTTGGACATAGTCTCTACTAATTTTTGACGGGTTTCCACAGCTTTTGCAAGTTTTGACAAAGTTCCTAGCGGTGTTAATCAATATTGCATAGCAGTTCTGTCTTACCTCAGTGTTTCAAATGCATCGCTCGGAATGTCTTCGAAACTATTGCTACTCAGGTTCAAATGCTGAAGTTCTGGGGTTGCATGGAATAGCTCTGGATGCAGTTTTGAAATTAAGTTGTTGTCTAATGACAGATATCTGAAACAAAAATTTATGGGAAAAATTTAATTACAAAATGTAACATTATTAAGACAAATGTTAATTTATATAATATCGATTAGCAAATAGTTGTAAAGTCTCTTCAAATAGTTTGAATCTTTCTCGCATTTTTCATCAAATTTGTGATATTTATTTTTACTTGTATTAAATAAAATCTTTCTCAAAAAATAACTAAAATCAGCATAAGCAGTTGCTATTTTTTGAGATAGGTATATGTTTGAGAAGTTTCAAGTACTAATCTTATGGCGCTCCAGAAGTGTGTGCACCATTATTGAGTTAACTAATTTTGTTTGCCTACTTTACATCAGGTTTTGTGACGGGGCTGAATCCAATACCACAGGCGGTTTCCAAAAATAAGGAAAATCGGAATACAATTATGGCCTAACCCTAACCTGGTACACACACTACGGGAGTACAATTGGGCGCCACGGCACGTATTCTACATAACGAGAATAATTCCAATAAGTAATTTATTAACAGAATACACCTGTACTGTAGGATTACCTACCTGAGATTTTTCATATTTTCCACGTGTTCTGGAAGAAATATCTCTGCTAGGTCATTACTGCCAAGATCTAGTGTTTGTAGATTGATAAAAACAACCTGACAAATGAAAAATTGACAAATATAAAACAAGAATATGGGTCAGAGACCGAAGACTTATCGATCGAAAGTTAGGGGACCCCCCAAAACAGCGCTCTTACTCCATAGTGACACCTTGTGTCCGATTAAAATCGATAAGTAATCATGCTAAGCACGAGAAGCAAGAGACTTGACTTGAGAAACTATAAGTTCGCACACCACCAATATAATATACAGCGTGTCCATAAAGTTACCTTACAATTTTGTTGTGTTTAGCCCGTATCAATGTATCTTAACCAGGTTTGTTGTTTTTAATCACTTATTTTTTTGGTATTTTACTTTATATAATACATCTGCGGAAGACAAAACAATATATGACAAATTCTATTTGCTGTTTTGAAAAAAAATTGAGACTTTATGGACACATAACTCAAGAGCTATACACTGACACAATGTAACTCTGGCAGCGTTTTGTCTGGCCGAGGTCGGACTTATTCACTCAAGCATACACTGTTAAAAAAAATTTTCCAAATTTACTAAAAAAAAATGGCAGCAAAAGTACTGGCCCATGTAAAAAAATTTACAGGCCCTATCAGTAGTATTATGAACAGTATTTTCAGTAAATTTACAGAGATTGATGGTAGCAAAAATTACTATAAAACTGTAAAAAATACTACTTTTTTGACGGCAGTAAACCTACCCACCAGTAGTAATATTTTTTACCTTAAAATAGTAAATAAAATTACTATCTCGATGGCAGCTACCTTACCCGACAGTAGTACCATACAATACTAGCATGATGGTAATTTCTCACTCGCGATGACCGAACCACTACGAGAGTAGCAAAGCTATTTACTAGCACGACACAACAGTAAACACACATATTACAGTTAAAATAAAAAAAACGAGATTCTGGAAACGAAAATCATTTTATTACAATTGATATTTTTATAAAACCATAAATACACACTGAACGCCTTTAAGGCTTGTAAAACAGTTTCGAAAGAAATTTCAGAAAATATATGGTCTACAGTCAAATTTAAACACCTATTAGGAGACGTTGAAGGCTATCCATGCAATAAAATGAGGGCACAAGTTCTTGTAGGACATAGGAATTCTGTATGTAATGGATCAAAATCGAGTTTCTATTGGCACTTGTTAGAAATCTGGTCTATACATTTCGAGGTCTATTTATTTATCTCAATAGATCCAAATAAAGTCAAACAAGAAAACGTTTTAGGACTGGGTTGTTTAGTTGACAAACTTATTTTGAAATCAAATTTCTGGATACCAGGCTATGAGACGCTGGCAAACGTGACATAATAACGAGACTATTGTAAGAATTTCACGATTTTTTGCACTTTACTCTAATTATAATGTTTCAAAATGAAAATTTTGGGAAATATCATGCAACCTATTTTGTAGCTATGGCAAGAGTTTCAAAGATGACAAATTCTAAAGTTAATTATGCAAGATAATTTTCAAGATAAGATTTCAAGGGGCGTGAAGTCGAAGAGCGGGAGTTTGAGGATTTTGGTAGGAGCATGAGTGGGAGTTCTAAATTTTGAAGCTTGCGGAGTCTATAGAGTTAATCATAGTCGGAGTTTATCCACACTTATGAATAGAGTTTGACTGGACATTTTTAAAGCTCATGAGCTAGGAGCAGAGTTTGCAGAAGTTGCAAATTCAAAATGTTAAAATTGATAAAACTGGACAAAAAGTTACACTAAAGCAGCTAGCATAGCAGCAGTCAAATCTTATAAGATCAGGGAGTCAAGAGTTTTAATTCATATTTTGAAAGAGTCTTGAGCAGAGACGGAGTCATATATTTGCAAATGTGGGAGTTGATAGTCATGAGTGGAAGCCAGAAATTTTGTGGTTGAAGAAGATTACGGAGCAGAGTTTGTTTAAAATTATCCAGACTTCACACCCAACACACAGCTAAATCATTTTTTATCAAATTAATCGATCAGCCAAAAGCAGGGCTGCGAACTCGAACTTCGAAAAACTCTATCAAATACATGAACTCAAACCCCTGACCAGGGTAATGAACTCGAACTTGAGAAACTCAATCAAAGGCATGTGAAAATTTGATCGAGTTTTCACCCCTGGTCAAAAGTGATGTAAGCTGCAGTAACACCACCAAAGTTTACTTAAACATCAATTTCTAACAACGGCACATATAACGCCTGTGATAGATTCACTCTTCTTGCAAGGCCGATTACTTTTGCATGAACGTCTTTGCCTTTACTTTTTTTCGACTTAGTGCCTCTGGGGTTTATGTCACCGAAGAACCTGAAAAAAGACCGAACTTAAATGGCGAATAGGTTTCACATATGAAATTTGGAAAACGTCCTGTCATCTCACCACCAAAATAGTAAAAACACAAACACTGGACAAAAATAGTAAAAATGTCAGGTATTTATAATGTATCGTGCCTTGCCAAGGGATAAACAAAAAACTGCCAGTGGGCCAGGAATGCAATTGCTAAACCAGAAGCACCAGATCCTCCTAGCCTCCAGTTGTCGCAAATCGCAATAGGCTCATCCGCTCGTTGACATTCGATTGCAAATGCAGCAATTGAAAAATATTGTATTAATTTCTGTCATTAGTAATGATTTTTTGCAAATATATCAAAAATTTCCTGCTACAAAATGGAGAGCACAGTGACATCGTTTGAAATTGAAGTTCACTAAAATAGGATTGTTGTGAGTTCATTTTTCACATATGGATGTAAAACATATTAGATTAGGAGGAAACATGTGTGGTACCGCCAGTCAGTCTATTATTAACCACCTAAAACTGTTTAACTAATTAAATTATTCTCAGCCCACTTATGGCCCAGTCCCCAGGATATGGACACCATGAGTTTGTGCAAGTCCAGTCACATATTTCCTTTTCACAACCCATTTTTTGTATTGTATGTCATCAAATAACACTACATGACAGAAGAAACAGGTAATTCGTCAACAACGTGTACATTGTGCCAACAGCAAGAATTATATCAGCACTGTAGACTAGCACATTTTTTCTTACCTCTGAATAAAATCAAACGTCAGCAAGGCCTTCTTTGGATATTCTATGTTGAAAACATAGAACGAAGCAAACTGAAAAGCTACCGCTTCAAAAAACGATCTACAGGAACACACCACTTCTCGTTCAGCGATGACGTAAAAAGTCTCAGCAGTCGCTACCGTGTTACCTGAAACACAAGATTGTAAACTTTAGCTTCGAATCTATAGGCTTATGAATAAAGTGAAAGTCACTCGACAGGTTGATTAATCTTATTATCTCAACTTCTAAAGCCAACTAATAACAAATACACTTACTAGAGGTGGATGATTAGTGATTTTTTTGATAATATGCAATTACACAATTATTAATTGTATAATAGTACGATCATCTCCAAATTGGCTTTGGCTATATATCTAACATAGCAGACATGGATTTGTTCTTATTTTCACTCACCGTTGATAGCAAGCGCAACACTGATAAAACGAAGGGAGAACTTATTACATTGATGAGGCTTATGATGCGCATTACGTTCTTTCAGAAATATATATTTCATATTTCAAGCAATGCATACTGTGACGCAACAGTTAAAGCAGGTTGCATGACAGAAGCTGGTGATATTATTTTATAATAATCACAACTGAGAAGTATATGGCGACACAAAATGGCCTTTGAAAAAGTTGCGCAGAATTAATCACAGGAAAACAGCTATCATATCATTTTTCGAAATTGTTCCCGATATTCACAATTACATCGCTCACCTCTAACACTTACCTATGCAAGCAATAAATGGAGATTTTGGAATATCTTTTAATATCTGGGAAAAAGTGGTTTCTTTCTGAAAATAGGCAAAGTAGTGAATGTATATGCAAAAAAATTCCGTTAACCACTATCATGCAGTTAGTTTCCAATTAATTTGCAGTCGGCTCACAAAACTTTATACGAACAGTGTTGTGCAGAAGTTACATTACTCTTGATGCAAAAACTTTCAAAAAAAAGTACTTTACACAAAAAAAGCATAGAACATACCTGGAAACACTTAAATATTTGGTTTAGGTTTCTCCGAAATAATAGGCGATCAACGTGACCACCCCAGTCGATTTTGGTAATTCAGTTTTCAGACTCTTTGATTCCGATTTTGAAGAACTTATAAATTCAGAAATTTTCTTATTGGTTGAATATTTCAATGTTCTAAATAATAATGCCTGCTAAAACGCTTAAAAACAGTGAAAAACCGTCAAAAAACACCAAGAACCCTGCTAAACGCTTAAAAACAGTGAACCGTCAAAAAACACCAAGAACCCTGCTAAAACGCTTAAAAACAGTGAAAAACCGTCAAAAAAACACCAAGAACCCTGCTAAAACGCCTAAAAACAGTGAAAACCGTCAAAAAACACCAAGAACCCTGCTAAAACGCTTAAAAACAGTGAAAAACCGTAAAAAAACACCAAGAACCCTGCTAAAACGCTTAAAAACAGTGAAAAACCGTCAAAAAACACCAAGAACCCTGCTAAAACGCTTAAAAACAGTGAAAACCGTCAAAAAACACCAAGAACCCTGCTAAAACGCTTAAAAACAGTCAAATAATACAGTGTAAATTGTGAAATCGCCAAATACGTTCCGAACAAGATGGCCGCCTTGTAGACTTTGTAGGTATAGTTGAATTCATCTGTCTGTTACCGGTACCGTACCTATTGTTGCCACTGACTTGTAACGTTTGAACGTATCCTATCACCATAGGCTACCGGTAAGTTACATCTATTCCGAAACAAATACTGAAATAGCCAATTCAGATTTTTACTCTTGGTCGTCGATATATACCGGTACCGGTAAGACGGCGAAACTAACGCAGTGTGTAAGCATGTCGCTGTATACAGGTAGGTACGGTACCGGTACCATTAGATGCTGATGTACACGGTATTTAAAGAATATTTTGGTCTACCAACTACAAGTCTGCTACTGTAACACAAACATGCTCAATTAACGCATGAAAAGCTACAAAAACCAACCGCCTAAAATAAACATCCACTAACGACAAAGAGCCTCGCTTACCGAGTCCTAATTCCTGAACCAGAAAAAGCGCGGGCTACAGGCACGTGACATTTGAGTGATGTCATAATTGGCACATTACCGGTACTAAATGACCTATGACCGGAAAGAGAAGGATTAAAATATAGGACACTTTGATCTCTGCAAAAAGTACCAGTACCGGTACCTCAATATTCAGACCACTACCCGTGGTAAATTCGCAGCTACCGTACAGACCGTTGCTAACACAATCATCAAACTCAGACTCACGCTATTGCATACTTAACATACGTACCGCATTCAGTTTTCATACGCACGCAACCGATGCTGAGCTCCCAAACAGCTTAGCGTCCCAGCCGAGATGGGCAAGGAAACTCGAAATCAAAAATGCTGCGCACGCAACCTGCCTCGTGGAGTTTTTGCGGATGAATTTTTGGACAAATAGGTCCGCTTACTTCCGGAAAAATAATATATAAAACAATATCTTATCTTGTCTAATGCAATAGCAAAACAATCAGAATTTTTGGGTGATGAACCAAAATAATTTTAGAATAAAATTAATTCAAATTAATACCCAGAGCAAAATTTAGATGAAATTCTAAAGGAGTATTTAAATTTGCTTCGTGACTATATCGCATGCGTAGGTAGATAAATTCGTTATTGGAAAGAATAGTTACTCGTAAATTAGTAGATACTAGTATTAGTTTTGATTTATTTTTACTTTTTCCAAGTATACAATCTTTTTACTATTTTTCTGTTATATTAATTACTAACTGATCAGTGAAATTACTATTCATTAGTAAACTATTAACAAACAAGCACCCTGATTGGCTTAGCTAAGCAAGTCACGTGATTTCAATAAAATACTCGAAAAATTAGTAAAAATTTACTAGAAAAATTAGTATATTTACTAATTTTTTTAACAGTGTATTTCAACGGTATATTCGTGTTAGCGAGCAGCAAGTCTCTGGATTTGAATGAAATAGTCGCCCGCTCTTTTGCTACAGCATCCTTGTATTTATATACAAAAAAAATTCACTTGCGCAAAGATAGTTAGTAATTCATTCGGCTGGTACTTAAAGCATGGATTGTAGAAAATAATATACTGCTTCGTATGCTTTTACACTCTTTCGCACCGAGTTTTTTAGTGATTTTTGGCGGTTTTCACTGTTTTTGCACTGCTTTTTTAAACTACAACTGGTAGTTACTTATCGACTATAAGATCGGTAGGTATGTTGATAGGTGTTTGTATGTTTGTTTGTTTGTTTGTTGTCTGTCTGTCTGTTAGATGAACGCGATATCTCAAGAAAGCGAGGTTGAATCTGATCCAAATTTTGCATGTGCATTCATCATAGCTCGGATCAGAAGCCTATTGATTTTAGATGAATTATGTCGTATAATTAGCGAGTTATTGATTAATTAGTGATTGGACACACGGTGTCACTATGGAGCAAGGGCGCTGTTTTGGGGTTCCCCTAACCTTCGATCGATAAGTCTACGGTCTCCGACAGATATTCTCGTTGAAACATTGATTGTAGAAATAATATCTTACCCCATATGTTCTTGGCCACGATCTGATTCCGTTATGAGTTAAAGTTAAGGTTTCAAGCCCTCCTAACCCGCTGAAGGTTCCGGGAGTGATAACGGATATTTTATTGTTATCTAAGTGAAGATGTTTAAGACCTTCCAATGTACGGAACGATCGGTCTTCAATACGCTGTATGAAATTACCTAAACAGGAAACAACAAAAAGTTAACCCAATTTTTTGCACCAAGTTGTCGCGACGATTGGCGCTGAGCTTTTGCGATACGCTGACTACAGCACCTCGGATTGCCCTGCGAGGGTTTGAATCCGGTGAGGAATAATTACGTGCAAGATGATTGCTGTACGCCTCCAATTAAAAACCATATGGCCAATGTAAATAAAAAAGGAGTGAGGATATTTATTTCAAAGATTCACTTTAATTTTATAACCCTTCGGGCTTCTACCTTTGATATTAATTGAGATATTCTTATTTCACATCATCCAAGCTCCTTTATCAGTGTATTTATGCCTATTTCAATATTCTTTCATATTTTACATTAGTGTATTAAAGTTTCCAGTGTTAATGAATCTATTCTGCGCTGAATTCTCACATGCTTTCAAGTTCAACCCTTTATTAATAATGCTGACCAGTGACCAAAGCAGCCCAACTTCATCAACAATCTTTATTGGCGCTCCCGTAGTATACCAAGATGTCGCACAACCTGAACCTTAACCCGGTACGCATGCAGTCTTCAGGTTGTGCGCCATCTCGGTGCACATACTTCTGGAACTCCTCTTTATTACTAGTTGTTACTTCTCGTTTATTTTATTTTTTAAATTTCAAACCGGTCTACAAAGTTTACCTTGAAGTTGTAGAGTTTCCAATTTTATCAGATCATGGAAGTGGCTCCGACCTATTGCTCTCAGTTTATTGTGCCTCAAAGATATACTTTCGAGTGAATCTAAGCCAGAGAACGTCCCTGGATGCAATTCTGTGATTTCGTTGTTATCAAGATGTAAAATTTTCAATCGTTTAAGACCTGTTGATAAATAAATATATTAATAAGCTATGTTTCCGATTATAAAGAATATCGAAAATTGCTCAATCTTTGAGAAAATTGCAGAATTTGTTTTACGAAATTTTTGAAAACCGGTTGTCTGTTTAAGGTACCACTGTCCCTTACACCCCATGGTCTTTTGGGTGGATTCATTAGTTTAATAAAGTTTTGATAGTGTTACAGAATATCGGGACAATTACGCGTCGAAAAAATTTAGTGTTCGAATCTTTTTTGACTCTAAATTAGTGGTTAAAGCGTTCGAACTTAGTATTTTGGTATCGTTGGTCAAAGACCTCCACCTCAGCCTTAGTGTAATGGGTAGACAAAAAAGTAACCGCGAGGATTAGTACAAAAGAACCAAGATTTTTACAACACAAGTTCAATGATGTGATTAGACAACTCCTTGCGTGAACCATAAATCGCTCCCACTTTTTGAAGAACACGTTATTAGTAAATTAACCTTTGAAGGCGTGTAGGTCAATGACTCGGATTCTATTAGAACAAAAGTCAATGTTTTCCAGCTTCTTATTCTTTTTGAACGTTTTTGAAACCAAGTGAACGATGTTGTTTCTGTTTCCGTACAATACCGATATCTCTTGATATGGCTTGAGATCATCTGAAAAGTAAAAATATTTTTGGTAAAATATTCTCTCTCTTGTTCCTAAAATAACAATGTTTGGGTACTCCCGTGGTATGTGTACCAAGATGGCGGACACTGGAACGTAGTATGTGTACCAGGTTAGACCATAATTTCAGGTACAGATACCACGAGAGTAACTTGGCTAGTTCCCGAACTGGTAATAGAACTAAAATAAGGAAAATTGGAATCAAATTATGGCCTAACTTTAACCTGGTACACATTATACGTTCAGATGTACGCCAACATGGTACACATACTTGGGGAGCGCCAAGAATTCAACTCTCAACGGATTTTCTCTTTATGCAATAATAAACATGCTGTAAATATATTTGCTTGAGATACTCTGTACGGATTAAAATAGCCTCGTTACACAGTTACTAGTTCTAAGAATTCTCGTCAATTATATCACACTGTAAACTTTCAAGTTTGAGAGCGAGCGCTGCTATTTTATTACTTATCGATCTTAAGATCGGTAAGTATATTGATAGGTATTGGTCTGTATGTATGTCTGTCTGTATGTCTGTGTATCTGTTAGATGCACGCGATATCTCACAAAGGCGTGGTTGAATCTGCTCCAAATTTTGCATGTGCATTCATCATATCTCGGACCAGAAGCCTATTGATTTTGGATGAATTATATCGTATAATTAGCGAGTTATTAATTAATTAGTGATGAAGAGATCTGGATTTTCACAAATCGAGAGATTTTCGAGACGCGCTGAATGTGTGTGTGCGTATCAGATGCGCAAGTTTTCACGCTAGTGAGTCAGAGCGAAGGATACACACCGCTAGATCGTATCTCGTGATTAATCTTTGAGCCTTGTCCATATCTCTCTTGTAACTTTGACGTCGTCGCGATGCGCAAGTTTCCTTCGAGAAATTTTCCACACTATTGAGTCAGAGCGAAGGATACACGCCGCGAGATCGTATCTCGTTACTTATAATTACTCCTTAAAGTTTAAGCAATGTCCATATCCCTAAATCAGGTTCGGGGTTGCAGAATTCCTCACCAAAATATCGCTAGGCTGTGTTTGAATAGCCGTCGCAACCTGGGTTAGCGCCGTATTTGACACAAACTATGGGATTGGAAAATACAGAAATAGGCTATTGGCTGGAAACTAATCGAAACAATTCAGTTCGGATTTGCAGAATTCTTCATAAAAGTATTTCCTCGAGTAGTATTTCGACGATATGGGGAGTTGGCTATTGTTTCCTACATTTCTGATATTGGCTGAAAACTAATCAAAACAATCCAGTTCGGGTTTGCAGAATTTTTCGAATCGAAACCGCAGTTTCTGTTTTGGGGATCCCCTAACTTTCGATCGATAAGTCTTCGGTCTCTGACCGATATTCTCGTTTTAATATTCAAAGCAATTAATCTTAATTTAGTGTTTGTTTATCAGTCGTGCAAATTTGTTTTACCTTTGACGGTTCTTATTTTGAAAAAAGAGAGAGCAGTTTCTTTTTAAAATAAATAAAAAAAAACAGTTAATAATTACTTATAATGCACGATATTCTTGGGAAGCTACACAGATAACCACACTTAGTGACAACGACAAATTTTATACATATTTCATTCAGATCGATTTTTTGTTATTCACTATGGGCTAGCATTCGTTGCAAATTTTCTCTGAGGTCTCGATTTAAGTAACTAGAATCGGTGGATTTTTTCACAAACAATGGTATAGAAATTTGTTCCGCATTTTATTGTTTAACACACCTGCAGTTGTCATGTTAAACTGCGGAACCTGATACGGTCATTGGAAGAAGAGTTGGGTGTTGTTAGTGTATAACGGAAAGGTTCCTGCAAAAATACCAAATGACTTAATTTGCATACTAAAAAAGCGACGTAAATGGATAAAATTGCAAAATAGACACGATACTTGTTTGGATAATTTTGAAATTTGCTGAAAATAACCAAAAGCGAAATGGATGCTGCGTTAAACCATGATTCTTTGTACGCTTTTAAATATGACTGCTCTCAAATCATTTTAATTCATTTTTTGATGTTACTATTTAGGCCGATACTTCAGTGTCAGGTCTACCGCACTTTAGTGTGATAACGGCCTTCCGTTAGCACTTTAACGTTGGGTCTACCACTGTATCATCCCAGCATATGAGTAGGCTACATATGGCAGTAAACCTGATGCTGAAGTAGCGCCAAATTTTTTACAAAATAAAATATAAAATTACAAAGATTACGAGCTTACAGAAACCTGAGTTTGAACACTTATCACGCCTACATTAATAAATGAAAAGAATAATTTAACCAATAAGGTGCAAAACCAAATTTGCACCTTTGCATAACAATAGCAGAGGAAAATTTATCTTAATCAAATATAACGATTCGCTTTCGTCACAATTTCACAGTGTGTAAAGAGTTTTGTATATTGCAATACATGACAACTGTTGGTGAATATTTGGTACTGCCGAAGTATGTGAACCAAAATGGCGTGTTCCTTATTTCAGTACCATTACTAGTTCGCGGACTAGTCAGGTGATTCTCGTAGCTTTTGTTACAGCATTTATGGCCCAACCCTAACCTGGTACACATACTACGTTCCGGTGTCCGCCATATTGGTTCGCATACTTCGGAAGCACAGAATATTTTATCAAGTATATGGCACTTTACTCACTAGAGCCTATTGTAGAATTGCAAGCGATGCGTTTGTCGTGATTATTTGGAATTTCAAGTTTAGCCGCCCCGAGTTAAACAACTATTTTTCCAGTTTACTTTTAAATTCAAGTTGACTTTATGAATTTTATCAAAGGTAGGTAATTGCCGAGTTGCATTATATTATCGATGTGATATTTAATTAAACAATTCAATACGTTTAATGTCTTTAAAGGTGATATTTGCTCCTATGTTGTAAAATATTCATCACCTACAAATTACATCGTGTAAATAGTCTGGGCCATGAAGTCAGTTTGCGGCCCTATATATTATTCCTGATTGCCAAAGGCTCATTGAGTCAGATGATATCATGACGTCTTATTGTATTAATGAGATCTCATATTTGTGTTCTGACGTCATCTTTTGTAACCGGAACAACCCGGACATTCCCAATATAATGTCCCATAGCGTTCAAGATTCTCATCTATAAATTTCTCGCGTTGAATACATTTCACTATTTGTAGGTAGAGGATTCAAATAGCGACGCTCCAGAAGTGTATGTATACCAATATGGAGGTAACTAATTTCGTTCGTCCATTTTACACCAGGTCGTATAAATGGGACTGAAACCTATGGTCAGGGGGTATGTTCGCTTGGCTAACGCAGACAGTACCCGAACTCGTAATAGAACTAATATAAGGAAAATCGGAATAAAATTATGGCCTAACAATAACCTGGTACACATACTATGGGAGTACCAAAATAGGACTGTAGGTCTAACTACTAACCTTCACTTATCGCTTGTAAACAACTGTCGTTGACGTAGAGTTTTTTCGCAAATGTGCAGTTACGATTTGGGGCCAAATGTCTGTTGATTTCATCCACGCTAGGTAATCTCTTGTATTTGGACTGGTCGCACCACAGCGAATTATCGGCACCAGAATACATGCAATATGGATAAACCTGGCGTGGATCTTTTCTAAAAGGAAGGTTGTGAAAAAATTGGTTATATAGAATTAGAACAAGATTTTAATTTCTATTCCGTTGGATTTAACTATGAAGTTAAAACTTGATATGGATCATATAGTATATTTATCAATCGTTTTTGCATAATGTTTCAACCAAGTGGATATCTCAAAACGATAGAAAATAATGGATATTCCGCAGCGCTACGAGTAAATATACAGAGTAGCAGAAAGAGAGCGATTTTGCTTCATTGCTGTTGATAGTGAATCGACGCCGTCGTTACGAATCTTAGAGATCTTTCATCAATTGCATCTGAGGTATTGTACTTTATACTGTACTTTTTTATATATTTATTTTTTACCATTGACTTATCGTGCAATGTTTCTGGTAAGACAAGGAGGAATATCTGGATCTGTGTATATCCAGGTTCGTTCTATTTTGTATATACTGCTAGCTGCAATAAGTATCAAACGAAAATATCGGTCAGAGACCGAAAACTTATCGATCGAATGTTAGGGGATCCCCAAAACAGCGCTCTTACTCCATAGTGACACCTTGTGTCCCATCACTAATTAATTAATAACTCGCCAATTATACGACATAATTCGCCCAAAATCATTAGGCTTCTGGTCCGAGATAAGACGAATGCACATGCAACCTGGAGCAGATTCAATCTCGCTTTCGTGAGATATCGCGTGCATATAACAGACAAACAGACATACATACAGACAAATACCTATCAACATACTTACCGATTAAAATCGATAAGTAATAAATTGGAAATCTTACTCTGTGCATTTCACTCCTGCAGTCGCAGACGCCGCCTCCAAAAACATGAAGAAGAAAATAACAGCCAAGATATTCAAAAAAGACATCTTTGCTGTAGTTTTTACATTAGATATAGCTTACTTAAGCTAAATTAAAATTGGAAATCTTACTCTGTGCATTTCACTCCTGCAGTCGCAGACGCCGCCTCCAAAAACATGAAGAAGAAAATAACAGCCAAGATATTCAAAAAAGACATCTTTGCTGTAGTTTTTACATTAGATATAGCTTACTTAAGCTAAATTAAAACAGACATGATTAATTAAAATATCCCATATTTAAAAACCGGCATATTATCCGCTTTTAGAACGACGACCCATCGGCGTCTGAACATTCATAATTGCCGCGATAGTTTTGCAAGCCTTATTCCAAAACTTAATTTTTGATATTTATCTGCGCATGCTGAAGTTTCTACAGCGCTGGTGTGCACGCTACACCACTATCACAGAAAGACGCCACGACTTTTGCACTCGAGCGCGACTGCTGTTATTTTTTGAATTACGACGCGACCGATCCTTTGTCGAAAATATTTGTGTAAGACGATAACCCTTTTTTTACAGTATTTAAATTCTCTCATCCATGTTAGCTCGAAATAGATGTGCGATTCGGTCGTTAAATATACGCCCAAATGACGCCCTCTTCTGTAGCGGTATTGTATTGGGTTGCAGCACTCCAAACCAATAGACCACTTTGATAACAGTGTATTAGGCACACAGTAGTGGATTTTGTCTAGTGATGATATAATGAGTTCGACAATTTTCTACGAGTCACAAACTAGTCAAATAGGCCCAAACACGCTATCATTCATCAATATTATTTAGGTTACGAATTTCATTCCATCTATAGTGTCTGAATCGTCGTATATATTAAATTTAAACGCAACCACAGAGCAGTGTCTGCCAGTAAGAGTTGACAAATGTATTTGGATATTATATTTATATCCAACATTTTTTCTAATGTTTTTACAAAGCTAATCCCCTAGATCTCCATCCAGGGTAGGTCGCGCCTGCGGCTTTAACCGCAAGGGGAAACGTAAATAAAAGTTTTAAAAAAAGCAAAAGGCAACAGCTTCCGTGTTTTTTGTTATGTCTACTTCAATCCAAATCAAACCAGCTAGGTCATAAAGATAAACAAGGTCAATAACATTGCAAGTCTTATATTTCGTCTCCATGTCTGCAATCGATTCCAAAACTTTTAAAAATATTAGTACATGTCTAACGAGTCAATGAATTAATTAGCTAGTAAATAGTTACTACAATGGGCATGATTTGCTTTGACTGTTAATTATTATTGCCATGCTTGGTTAGCTGACAATCAGCGCCATTCCCTTAGCGTCATTCTTCAGACGATGTAAAATATTAATCTACGTCTTTTTGAGCCAGTTGGTTACCTTTTACTTACGTGCCTTGCATTACCTAATCGTTTTTATCAATTACTTTTAGGTACTACTCTCTCGCAATTGGAAAAATTTAACATATATTATTTGGTATATTAATTATGTTAATCCCCAGCCTATAGAACTAGGATAGAACGAGCCGATATATCAAATTATCTACCCAGACGCTATGACTTTTACCGATGGATTGCAAACCATATCTGGATATATAAAAAAATGACTACTTGGCAATCTAATATTTGAAGTCATTTATTGCAAAAACCCAAAATAAACAATAGAATGAACAAAGTAGTTTGAAAACATGATTTGAATCTAGTGTTTTAAATAAAATAGCCTTCAGTATTTGCACATATCTTCGTCTGCGCCCATTGTTCCTAACCTTGCCTCAAGTGTTTAAGTATTCTTTGTCGAGGGGTTGAAGGCAATAACAATTATTCAACTCTGCCTATTTACTCTTAGTCTTTTGCACTGACGCTTGTCCTTGTCCAAAAATTGATATCCTTAAGTATTAAGCCACAACATCTTATGTATTATTATTTTCTATGCTTGGAATACGCGATTGTATATTTTAAATTTGATACCTTTTTGACGTCAATAAGGAAAGAATAGCGATTTCAAACATGTCTTGGCGCGACGATACAAGACACAAAAGACGACGGTTTTGTTTGATGCCTGGATAGACAATTACAGAACGCTCAATAGCACATCTACTGTAACAACAGTCCCGATTTTATGGTATAGAATTACCTAAAATTTTGTTCATGCTAAACCAGGTTCAGTTAGGTTTAAGGTATAAAATAAAGCAGGCTTGTATTAATATCTAGATCCAGGGCTGCCACTTTGCCTGACTGCAAACACCTCGAAAAACATCTAGAAACATCCAGATTGAAAAATAAAACATCTAGAAAATACATCTAGATATCAAGTCCTTGAATTTAATGAATAGTAACCATAATACAGTAATAGGTTGATGTTTAAAGAGAGACACATTCAATAGCACTTATAGACTTAAATACCTCAATAATTTTAAAACCTCTTGGCAACAATATCCCTGGACCAACGTCGTCCTTTCTATTTAACGTTAATAAAACGTCACATGTTTTAAACATGTTCAATTCGTTATTCAAATATTTTAAGTACATATGGCTCTATGGTACTAGTGGACGAATACAATATGAATAAGTTTTATCAATCTTACATCAATACTTCTAAATAATGAAACAATATTCATTCACCTATTACAGTATTATACACATCTCTTTATTTATTTCCCACTGAATAATATTTAGAACCTTGAAAAAAAAACTAGATTTTATAGCTAACATCTAGGCTCCAAATTTCACATCTAGATCTTGAGAAAAAAAACAAAAAACATCTAGATCTAGATATAAAACATCTAAAGTGGCAGCCCTGTCTAGGTCATCATCATCTTTGGTCCTGATATTTTTACAAAGAGTTTGGTCGTAGAGGGATATTTATCTCACGTCCGCGGGCGCTGGAGCAAGAAAGAGAGAAAGAGAACCAATCGTTGCCATAGTTGCCCCACTCATCTTGATTTCATGGTTGTTCTTGTTTGCGACTTGCTTATTCGAACCTTTCGCTATCACATTCACACATAACAAAGCTTGAAGTAATTTCTTAAGTAATTTCACAAAACCCGGATACAGGACCAGTATAATTACAAATTGTATTACATCGTCGTTTTTTGGCGCGAAAAATTCGTTGTTGACGAAAGAACGCTGTGTATCGGGGCGACGAATCAGAATTTATTACCATCTGTGATTTACAATATACTTGGTAGGATACGCCCAATATGTCTAAGAAGATAAATAAAAAACTTTGTAGCTATAACTATCCAAATGATTTCGGCATGTTCTGTGCGGCTCTGATCTCAAAATATTTCGTCTTAAAATATACATAAGAACTGTATCGCTTTCACGTATCCATCCCAACTTGCGGACGAAATTTATTTCTCGTAAATCTTGTACAAATCTCATCGCATATTTGTGTATTTACATGGTACAACATGTTGACCCGAATTTAATGACATGACATCGAATTGGTACCATAAAATCATGTACATACTTATTCAATCAATTTTAACGGGTGACCTTGATTACGCAAAAAGTTTGTTGCACTTTGCCCTGTAACCATGCTCTGTTCACAAAATTAATTTGTAACTTAGCTATAAACGAAATCGTAAAATTGTACGCTTTTGTATACTTTTATGATCATCAACACATCCCGCTTTATATATTTTAATGTTAAACATATTTTTATTTAGCTCTATAACTAAAAAAACTCAGGTTATTTAAGCTGATTATTACAAGCACTTTAATTACATTTTTCTTAGCCATATCAGTTTTAACATTCAGCTAGAATTCCACCAAAAAAGAGGCCAAGATTAAAACAATTACTCCAACTCCCAAATCCGAGTGGGAAAAGCGTGATTATATAAACTTTTTAAAACCTTATTAGCTTTTCGTAAACACCAGTAAATTGAAACTTTAAAATTGCGATCCCAACTTCTGTTTGCGAGGATTGGAAACACAAGCGTAAGACTGAAATAATCGAAGTCGGTTCTCGACTCTGATTTAACAGCTCCAGCGTTCCCAAATAACTCCATTTATTAGTTCTATGATCTCGCTTTTGGGAAAAAACCGAGGCAAAAACTATCGTCTTCATGCGACCTATTCAGCAATCTATGTTTACAAAGTCTGCCAAAGATGTATTGAGTTCATTCGGACGAACGGTTTATTATGACTACGCCTTTACAAATGAAAAATGGATCACAAAACACAAATATTGTATTATCCTTTTAGAATAAATGTATTCCTACGAATATCAACCAAGCTAGGCGCCGGTGTTAGCCTAAAGCCCTAAACAAATGTTATTGCGCCAGATATGCAAAAAATGATTTTATATTCACACATAGAAAAAGAAACAAAACTAGGTTTTTTCACTATAAATATCACACTACCGTCTCGTAATCCATCAATAGTATCTAGTAAGATTGGTTTATAAAGGGCGCTTCATTTGTACGTGTACCAATATGGAGATAACTAATTTTGTTCGCCTACTTTACATCAAGTTGTTTAAAGGGACTGAACCTATGTGCAGGGGGTATATTCACTTGGCTAACACGGACAGTCTCCAAACTCGTAATAGAACTAAAAAAGGACAATCGAAATAAAATTATGACCTAGCCCTGACCTAGTACACACACTACGGTAATACCTATAAAGGTGCGTAAAATACTGACTTCTATGGTTATAGGATTATGATAATTGAAAGATTTCAGTGATTTCTTCTGATTGATTGTAATACGCAAAGTAATATAAAATTGCTCCAAATTTAGAGAAAGGAAATTTGCCAGTGGTCTCCCCCGACCCTTTGGTAGTTGATTAACTTCGTAAATAGGGTTAAATTAGAGTCAGATTCGGAACTACTGATATTAAACTCAACGAGAAGTAATTTATGTTTTCTCCGTGAATATGAAAAGAAACCAAACAATCTTGTGATTCCGATTTGAGATACATTTACACATCAATGTTATTGAAATAAAAGACTATACCCCAGTTGAAAAAGACTCAATTTCGTCTTGTATGAGGCATAATCTTTAAAAATTATCCCTTTTCAATATGAATAAACATTCAGAAATAGATTCATCCAATCCACTTTAAAGTACAGTAAAGTATT